CAAAAGTCCTCAACAAAAATACTAGCAAACTGAATCTTAACAGCACATCAGAAAGATAATACACCATGCTCATGTGAGATTTTTCCCAGGGATGCAAGGATGGTTCAACATACACATATCCATAAATGTGATACATCACTCCAACAGAATAAAGGACAAAAACCATGTGATCATCTCAACAGCTGCATAAAAAGCATTTAATAAAATTCAACATCCCTTTATAGTAAAAACTTTCAACAAACTAGGCATAGAAGGAACATACCTCAATATGATAAAGTCTATATGTGAAAAACCCACAGCTAACATCACACTGAATGGGGAAAAGCTGAAATCCTTTCCTCTGATAACTGGAACAAGACAAAGATGCCCACTTTCATCACACCTATTTGTAGTACTGGAGGTCCTAGCCACAGCAGTCAGGCAAAAGAAAGGAATAAAAGGCATCTAAATTGGAAAAGAGGAAGTCAGATTGTTCTCTTTGCAGATGACATGATCTTATATCTAGACCAACCTAGACTCCACCAAAAAACTCCTATATCTGATAAATAATTCAGTAAGGTTGCAGGATACAAAAGCAACATACAAAAATCAGTAGCATTTCTATACACCAATAATGAACTAGCTGAGAAAGAAATCAAGAAGTTGATTCCATTTACAATAGCTATAAAAGAAAAACATATCTAGGAATTAATTTAACCAAGGAGGTGAAAGATCTCTACAAAGAAAAATACAAAACATTGATGAAATAAACTAAAGAAGACACAAATAAATGGAAAGACATCCCATGCTCATGAATCAGAAGAATTAACAGTATTAAAGTAACCATACTCCCCAAATGAATCTAATGACTCAGTGCAATCTCTATCAAAATACCAGTATCATTTTTTACAGAAATAGCAAAACAAAAACAAAAACAAATACAAAACCTAAAATTCTTGTGGAACCCAAAAAGAGCCCAAATAGCCAAAGCAATCCATAGCAAAAATAACAAAACTGGAGGCATCACACTACCTGTCTTTGAAATATATGACAAGTCTATAATAACCAAAACAGCATGGTATTGGCATTAACAAAAGACACATAGACCAACAGAACAGAATAGACCCAGAAATATATCCACATATTTACAACCAACTGATTTTTGATAAAGATGCCAGGACACCCTCTTCAGTAATTGGTGCTAGGAAAATTTTGGATATCCATATGCAGAAGATTGAAACTAGACTCTTAACTCTGACCATTTAAAAAAATTAAGATGGATTAAGACTTAAATGTAACACTTGAAACTATAAAACTACTAAAATAAAACACAGGGAACACTTCAGGACATTAGTGTAGGCAAAGATTTTATGCCTAAGATCTCAAAAGCACAGGCAACAAAACCAAAAATAGACAAATGGGACTATATCGAACTAAAAAACTGTACAGCAAAGGAAACAGTCAACAGAGTGAAGAGACAGCCTGTTGAATGGGAGAAAATATTTGCAAACTATTCATCTGGTAAGGGATTAATATCTAAAATATACAAAGAACTCAGCTCAACAGTTTTAAAAAATCCCATTTAAAAAGTGGGTAAGGGACATGAATAAACATTTATCAAAAGCAGACATACAAATGGTCAGTGTGTCTACGGAAAAATGCCCAGTATCACTAATCATCAAGGAAATGCTAATCAAAACCACAATGAGATATCATTTTATCCCAGTCAGAATCGCTAGAATTAAAAAGACCCAAAAAAATGCTGGCAATCATGTGGAGAACAGGGAACTCTGATACATTGTTGGTGATGATGTAAATTAGTACAGCCACAATGGAAAACAGTATAATTTTTCAAAAAACTAAAAATAGAACCACCCTATGAGCCAGCAATCCCATTATTGGATGTTTATCCATAGGAAAGGAGTCAGTGCATCAAAGGATACCCAGATCCCATGCTTACTGCAGCACCATTCACAGTAGCCAAGATATGGAATCAGCCCAAGCATCCATCAGTGGACCAGTGGATAAAATGTGGTATATATACACAGTGGAATACTATTCAGCCACAAGAAAGAATGAAATCCTGTCATTTTCAGCAACATGGAGGGAACTGGAGGGTATTACATCAGTGCCCTCAGAAAAACAAATATCACCAATTCTCACTCATAAGTAGTAGCTTAAAAGGCCAATCTCATGGAGATAAGAGAGTAGAATGAAAGATACTAGAGGCTGGGAGGGGTGTGTCGGTGGAGCAGGGTGGTGGGGAAGAAACAGAGGTTAGTCGATGGGTATAAACATTCAGTTAAATAGAAGGAGTAAGTTCCAATGCTCAATATCTCAGTAGGGTGACTACAGCTATGTGTACAATTATTATGTATCAATAAAAAAGAAAATAAAGAAAGCTTTGGACTCTTGGGTGCTGGAGAAACGGCCTGTTTCTCTCTGGCTGATGGTGCTGTCATTAGTTCCACACCCAGCAGGCCTTCTTTCCCAAAGCCCCAAGGAAATGAGAATTTGTTGGGGGAGGGTGGCAGTAAAGAGGAAATAGAATCTAAATTTTAAGCTGAGACATCACCAGCTGGTTCCAGCAGAGCTAGAGGACAGCATCTTTGGGCAGGAATCCAGGAAGCAGAAACACTGAGAATATAAAAGGAGCAAAAAGCTTTCTTTCCTTCTCCATCGATTGAAAAAAAAGAACAAGTCAGTTCAAAAATCCGTCAGAATGTCTTTCTGGAGGCTCACAATTGTGGGAGGATGAGATGGTCTTGACAGCCATTCTATTTTACCGTCTTCCACACTGGAAAAGTGAAATTTGTCAGAGCGTTTGAGCTTATCCGTGAAAAGTCTTTTCAAAGTTTCACCCAGATGATTGGGGTTTTTTTTGTTTTTTTTTTTTTGTTTTGTTTTGTTTTGTTTTTTGAGGCTGTTACCATTTTTAAAAAATTACTACTCGTGTTAGAAGGCTTTGTCCAAGTACCAACTGAGTTCTCGGTATGGAATTCACCCTAAAAATCTAATGTTTGTGCAAATGAGGCTGGCAGTAGCCAGAACAGGGACTTTGCAGGGGTGAGGCTTCTCCGTAGGAATCCTGGATACTCTTTCAGGACAACTGACACCCTTGACTTCATGCTCTCCTATTTTAAGCTGAAAGACTTGCATTTTTTATTACTAAGAAGACCTGCGTGTGGCGCCATCCAGCACGTTCACTAGGGAAGTTGTATGGTGCAGAGCTTTCAGCAGGAACCAGTGTTCCCTGCCTGGCATGGAGGGTGTACTCAACTGATACATGCAGAAACGGACAGAGTTCTCATCTCTTCTCCATTCTTCTTTTCCTCCCCTGTCCCGAGTTCTGCCTTCGAACTGCCCTTTCCTCCTGCGCTTTTCTCCTCCCTGGCTTTGTCGCTTATGTTTCTCCTGAACGGGTATCTGGAGGGGTAAGCATGGGGGCATTGTCCGAGAGGAGGTGGGGCTCTGAACGGCAGGTGGGGAAGCAGAGCCAACCTGGGCAGCTGTGTTTGTGTTTGCTGCCCGGAGCAGTGGACGGAGGGGCACTTTCAGGCACCACACAGGTGCCTGGCTTAGGGAATGGGAGTGCACCATCTCTCTTCCCCTCATCCCTTCCCTCCACTTGATCGTAAGACGCCAGCACCTGCAAAAGCATTTCCTTTCCACCTGCTCCTCATGCCCTGCACAGCAGCTATGGCTATAGAGGGACCATGGCAGGCTAGGGGCACATGGCAGGGCTTGGGAGTAACGGCATCTGGGAGAACATTACCGTCATGACATCCACCTATCTCCTCCAGATGGGCAGGCATCCTCTCCTCCCTCCCCATCACCACGCAGTGTGGGCTGACCCTGATGGGACCGATGGGACCTGCTGTGGGAGCAGTAAAACACTCTTAACCTAGGTGAGCTGGTGCAAGAGATGTGGGTCAGAACCGCCGAATGCACCTGCTGTCCGGCCAGCAGCAACTTGCTCTGGGCCCTGCTGTCCCTGAGTTGCAGGCAGGGGTCCATCTGCATATGGGGCAGAGTTCTGTGCCTGTGGCCACACATCCTCAAGCAGTTTGCTTTGCTGAGCTTCACGTGCATCTTGGATTTTTAACTCACGTTTTAGACTATCAGGTCTTTTCTATGGGGTGGCATCCTCTGATCCTAGGAATGACTTTATGTTCTGATGAGAAGTTCATCATCATGACAGCGACTGATGACCATGGAGCATTTTCACGGTGCCCGGGACATCCTCGTGTTTTCATGTTTTATTACATTTTCTTCTCACAATGGTCTCGCCGAGTTATTTTTACTTTCCCCGTTTCACAGATGAACAGACTAAGGTGTTGAGAGTGTAATTGCATAGCCAGCAAAGCAGCTCAACCAGGTCTGACACCCAGCTTGGACTCCAGCCTTCAAGCGTAACTCTGCGGCTCTGCCTGCGTGTGTTAGCAAGGGGGGCGCAGGGCAGAGGAGCTCCTGGGAAAGGAATTTGTTTTTGCTGGGACTTTATCAGGCCACTGCCTTGCCCCTCTGGAATCCTTCAGGACCCTGAGTGGGGTTTGGAACCTGGAGTTCTGGACCAGGTTGGCAGGTGAGCCTGCCCCTGGGCCCAGGGTCTTGTTCTGACTTGCAGAAGGTTCCAGATGGCCCCCACACAAGCCAGACACGGGGCTGCATGCACCATGGAGGAACTCAGAGGAGGCAGTTGCTCTTGAGGACCCAGCCAGCCTGGTTGTTCTAATCAGATGAGATCAAGGAGAAAGAGAATGATTTGTATATAAATCTCCTGCCGCCAGTAGCTTCAGTGCCCTGTGTGGCTGGGATGAAGCTGGAGAAAATAATGTATGCGATGATAGCCAGGATGCCTTGAACACCCTCCTTCCTTCTGCATTCCACTGAAGTCTCCTGCAGGGTTTTGCAGCCCCAGCTCACCACTTTCCTTCCATAGTTAGAACCTTCCCCACACATCTGATCAAAAGAAAATTTGGGCTATTGTGTTAACAGATGACTTTGCTTTTAATTGGTAGAACCAGGAGCTGTGGGACATCTGAGTTTCACGGAGATTCTGGACACATCTCTCAAGGTCAGCTGGCAGGAGCCCCTGGAGAAAAATGGCATCATTACAGGTAAGTAGCCCTGTCTTCCAAGAAAGGAAAAGATAAGTTTGTCCTCGCAAAAAGAAGTGGATATGACTTCAAACCAAACTGCTGACAGCATGGACCCGTGCCCATGGCCTTCTCGAGAGGAACTGAAATGTCTTCCTGGCCGTGTGGCAGAGTCCCGGCACTGGGACTGCTCCAGTGAGAGCCAGCCTGGTCTGGGGGCCTTTCACCGTGTGGGCAGCAGCTGTAGTTTGAGATCTATTCTCACGTCCAGAGTCTCTGACCAATGAGTCAGTCATGTTATGACATATTTGTTCACATGGTATGTGTCTCACTTAATTCTCATAGCAGCATGGTAAGGTCGATATCGATATTATGACCATTTTACAGATGAGGAAACTGAGGCCCCGAGAGGGTGGGTGACCTTTCCTTCATTCAGCAGACGGCACTGAGTGCTCCTGTGTGCAGCCAGCCCTCTCAGACACAGCCAGGCGGCGTGACTATGAGGCTCACATGCCCTGTGTCTCAGCCCTCGTCCCACAGCTGTGAGCCGCAAGGCCAGGATGAGATCTGGATCTTCTGACTCCAGATCCCATGTTCTGTCCCTTCCCCACCCTGCCCTCCAGTGAGAGCCCTGAGGAGACTGTGAGGCAGGTACTTCGGAGGAGGTTCTGAGCTGTGGGAGGGGCGGAGGCTGAGCCTTAAAGGCGCCTGAGCAGTGAAATCTCTTCTCCTGGTTTGAGGGGTCTCTGTGGGAGACAGCTCACCTTTTTAGGGTTTTTAATGATTGTAGGTATGTATGTATGTATGTACTGAGGCAGAGTCTCACTCTGTCGCCCAGACTGGAGTGCAGTGGCATGATCTCCGCTCACTGCAACCTCCGCCTCCTGGGTTCAAGCAGTTTTCCTGCCTCAGCCTCCCAAGTAGCTTGGATTACAGGTGTGCGCCATCATACCTGGCTAATTTTTGTATTTTTAGTAGAAATAGGGTTTTGTCATGTCGGCCAAGCTGGTCTTGAACTCCAGACCTCAAGTGATCCACCTGCCTCGGCCTCCCAAAGTGCTGGGATTACAGGTCTGAAAAACCTTTTAGGTTAAAGCTTAATTTAAATCTTAGTTCAAAAAAAAATTCTTGGTTTGACAAAAACAGCATAGGCTTTAGCCTCAAATGAGGTTGGGCAGGGCCCCCCATTCCACTATTTTAGTCAACATAAGAGCCTCAGCAGACCTCTGGGGTCCTCAGTTCCAACTGGAGCTGTCAGGAGAATGAATTGAGAGAAGCTGTGTCAGCTGCCCACTGCCTGGCCCAGAGCAGCTCAACCTCCAACAGGCATCTTTTTTTCTTTTTCTTTTTTTTTTTTTTCTAAATATTACTGAAGATTTCTAGCAAGCCACTTAATCTTCTTCTTGGTCAGTCATATATGGGACTCTTCTACGTGAGCCCCCTCTGGGGGCTTTGCCTGTGGCATCTCACGTCCCGGCAGGGGCTCCTTCGTGGGTATTTTGCAGCCGCGCCCCGAGGTTGAGTGAGTTGCCCATCCTGACGCGAGCGGTCAGTTGGGAGCTGAGCTGCATCTCCACTCCATGGTGGCAGCGTTCTCAGCTGGCCGCGGGAGCTGTGGAATTCAAGTGCCTGATTGTTCTGTGAAGCAAGCTCACGTTCTCTGGGTGGGTCCTAGAAGCCTGTGCTGGGACTGTGCTGCCCAGAGACCAAGAGCCTCAGGTGGTCTGTCCCTGCTGTCGGGCCACAGCGTTGGGAGCTGTTTCTTCTCTGCTCTGGCGTCCGGGATGACAATGGCAATGATGACCCTGACCACTTCCCCTGTGCTTGGCACCTTAACCTTGCAGGATCGCATTTTGCTTTCTCTGCAGCCACACAAGGGGTGTCTTATAACCCAGGCCTGGCGATGACAAGGCGGAGGTTTAGGGTGGCGACGTCCCACGATCACAGCCCGTGGGTATGTGCGCATTCTCTCCTCTGCAGCGTTGATGTGCCGGGGGTGAGGTTTGAACCGTGCTCCGAACCCCACAGCAGAGGACGTTCATCTTCCCCATCCACAGTCCTCTTAGCGTCTCCGTAGTTTCTCAAAGCACCCTGAGGGCACAGAAATGCCTAACGGTTCTGTTTATTAAGTAGTTAGATCCAAACAACTCAAGTGTTTATATGCTGACAACTAGAATTGCCATTTAAAAAATACTACACAGTAGTTGAAAGAAACAAAACTTGCATTTGTTTTTTCAGTGACCACAGTTAGTTCCTAATGAGATGTCTGCATCCGCCTCGCACTGCCCAGCCTCTCAGACCTTGGGACCAGATGGCCCCTCGTCACCCTCATTTCCCGGTTCACGTTGGTTTCCCGGCCGTACTCGTTTCCTTATCGCAACATCCACCAAAAATTCTGCTTTGCAAATATAGGATGTATCCAAGGGCACGTGGCAGGCTCTGGCCTTGAAACGGAGCCCCCCTCCAGCCAGAGGCTCACATGTGTCCCACTGGCATTGAGTGTCCTGTGCCTCCCTGCAGTGCTCCTGGGAGGTCACTGCAGCATTCCAGGGGCCCTGGGGCACAGTGGGAGACTGTCTTCCTACAGTGACCTGTTTCTACACAGAACTCCTGTACATAGCAAACCCAGTGCCAACCTCACCACTTCTAATCAGTAGAATCTCCTGTAATCATCTGTGCCAACCAGATCCCCTGATAGAGCGGTATGCCCAGAGCCCATACACAAGGTCACCTTGGAGCCAGTGCCACCTCTCATCTTAACTTTTTTTTGTTGTTGAGATGGAGTCTCGCTCTGCAGCCCAGGTTGGAGTACAGCGGCGCTATCTCGGCTCACTACGACCTCTGCCTCCTGGGTTCAAGCAATCATCCTGCCTCCACCTCCCGAGTAGTTGGAACTATAGGCGTGTGCCACCACGCCTGGCTAATTTTTTGTGTTTTTAGTAGAGGTGGGGTTTCACCACATTAGCCAGGATGGTCTCGATCTCCTGACCTCGTGATCCACCCACTTTGGCCTCCCAAAGTGTGGTGTGCCTCTTATAAGCATATAGCTGGACTTTGTGGGGTTTTTTATTTTTATTTTTTGTTTATTTGTTTTTTGAAATGCAATCTCTCTCTGTTGCCCAGGCTGGGGTGTAGTGGTGTGATCTTGGCTCACTGCAACATCCGCCTCCCAGTTCAAATGATTCTCCTGCCTTAGCCTCCCAAGTAGCTGGGATTACAGGCGTGCACCAGCACACCTGGCTAATTTTTGTGTTTTTAGTAGAGACAGGGTTTCACCATGTTGGCCAGGCTGGTCTCGAACTCCTGACCTCAGGTGATCCACCTGCCTCGGCCTCTCAAAGTGCTGGGATTACAGACGTGAGCCACCACGCCCGGCCTCACCTTAACTGTTAAAGAAAGTAAATTTATGAATCTGGCTCTGCCTTCCAGAAGCTTATCTTTTGAAATGGCCACTTCAGACAGTGTGAAAACTCCAGGAATGTGGGAAAGTCACTGCTAGAATTGAACACGATCTGTTGTACATTCTGAAGTCGTCTAAGAATGGCAAGTGCTGAGTATGTACAATTAAAACAGCCTCCTGTTGCCTGGAGTCGAAGGAATTAAGTGAAGGCAGGGGGAACTGAGCAGGGGAGGCCACGATAGACTGCAGGAACCTAGTTTAGTTTAATCTTGCTTTAAACATTCAAAGGAAGGAAAAACAAACTAGTGGGTGATTTTTAAAAGCTGAGCAGGAGGCTACCATTCGGAAGAAGAACACTTTCCAGTTCAGATCCCCCAGGGACCAATTCGGCGGCTGGAATTAGAGCTCTGCTTACCACTGACCCCAGAAACGGGGCTGTCCGGGTAGGAAAGAAAGAATGCCCCTCTGCCCAGTTGCCTTTCAAGTCCGCAGTCGGCCATGTTTTGGAAATCTGGCGGAGACTCCGTGGTAGACAGTGTCCACACCGAAGAAATTCCTGTTACAGATACACACGTCAGCCCCTGCCCTGCCCTTTGTGAACACAGCATACTCTCCATTCCTGTTCTAAAGCCAAAAGAAAAAAATCCATGGCATAATAATTCACGTTGAGCCAACATTTCACGGCTAAGCGGTGGTTGCCAATACTTCCAATTTACGATCGTCTGTTTCGCCAGCTAATGGGGCTTCGTGAACTCATTTTCGTATTTTATTTAAACAAATACCTGTAGTTACAAGCAGCAGTCTATGGTTTATGGTGGAGCTTGACTTGGAAGCTCGAGCTTTCCCGGGCTGGGTAGAGCCGGAGGCCTGAGTTTGGAGGTGCCTGTGCCATGGGGGACAGCAAAGTTGCAGTGGGAGCACCAGGCAGACTCTCTGTAGGTTCCTCTCGGCGGCCGCATTGTCCCCTTCTCTCTGTGTGTGGCCTGTGCATTTTCCATTCCTGCTCACACGGTAATGTGCATCTTGTATCACCGGAAGCTTCAGTGGACGCATGCAGCTCTTTAGAGAAGGTCCTAGAGGAGGTGAGATCGGATGTTATCACCTCACCACCCAACATCACCTGGTACCCGCAGTGATGCCTGCATCAGGGGAGCTCCCCCTGGCACCCACCAAGTAGACATAGATTCCCCGTGGAGCGTGCAGGCAGCACCATTAAATTCTATTCTGTGCTAAAGGCAGAGTGTTTCATTGAGGACAGCAAAAGAAAAACTGCGTTCATGGGCAAACCTGGCTGCCATAAGCCAGTTTCCAGAAGCGTTGGTGTGGCACCACCATGCTCTCCAAGGCTTCCTGCAAAGACTGCACCTGCTATTAAAGGCAGCTGCGGGAGCCCAGGATGACTGACGGCCTGGGCCTGGGCTCGGCACTGCTCTACGGGCCAGAGACGCTGTTGGAAACGGTGGTTTATTAGCCCTGGTCTGTGGTGAGCACCCCCAGCCTCTGTTTTAATTCGAGGCCTGGAATGAGAGGGAAGCATGGAGCAGGGGGCGGCTGTGCCTGCCCGAGTAAATTGCCCATTGCGCGCTTATTGTAAATTTCAGCGTCCTCCACTCTCCCTCCGTAAACTCTGATTTATGAGGGCCAGGATGCAGACAGACAGTTTGTGATTGGATGCACTGCTCTCTTCTAGAGAATTTACTTCAGATCAACAGAAAATTATTTCTGAAGCTCCTCTGGCCATTAGTCTCAGTTAGGCAGCCACTGGGAGCAGGTAGGATGCCAAGCGCGAGGTACCCCCGCTCCTGGCTCCAGGTGCCTCTCTCCTCTCTCCTCTGGGAGCTGGAAGCGGAGGATGCATCCCCTGGCCAGCACTGCCCGAGCCCTCCACGCACCTCCCCCAAAAGCTGTTGTTCGTAAATTAGAGGACGTCTTTCCCACTTCACGCTCACCGCTGTGTCTGTGCTCACGGACATCACACGTCTCGGGCCTGCACCGTCTCCGCTGGCGTTACTCTGCAGATCAGCCTCTCTAGCTGTCCGTTTGGTTTTTGTTTGTATCCATAACCATTTGAGCACACCGTATTATCGATGTTGATCCTAATAAATCCCAGCAACGCTGCCCTTCCTGAAGATGCTGGAATTGCCGTGTTTCAGCTCTAGGTCGACAAGACGAACATGAGGCTGTGTTTTAGCTGATGAAGAACAGCTTTTAAACAAATAAAAATTTCTGGCAGGCAAGGTTGTAACATTTAAACAAAGGCTCCTCTTCCCATAGGTTCAGAGTAGACCCCGAGGATCAAATTATTTCGCGATTGACCAGGCATGGCGCACCAAGGTCAGGGATGTCTTTCGGTTCCCTCGCACACATCGGGGAGGAGGTGCTAGAGGAGGAGGCTCTTGAGAGGCAGGGTCTCATCCACTGTGAGAAACAGACTCACCCGTCCAAACCCAAAGAATGGACTCAGAGACACGGAGAACAGCGAAAGTGGGACTTTTAATGACAGTCTTACAAGATTGAATGTCTGATGGGCAGGCACACCCAGCAGGGTCACAACAAGCCACTTATTCCCTACTGTGCAGGTCCCTCCCCTGGTTCCTCACAGGCTGAGTACTGTGGGGGTCACAGTCTTCCCGGGCGTCACCCATTGGTTATTGGGCAGGGGCTGTAAGTGTTTTCTTTAGGGTGGTCTTGTTGCATTTTGTTGCAGCCCACAATGCACTGCAATCCTAGTCAGCTCAGGGGCTCTTCAGGTATTTGACTTATGACGTAAGTAGCTGGGCAAGCTGATAAGAATAGACAAAATGAGCTATTCTGCAGGATAGTAAACGTTCATCTTAGATTAAACTTCTTTGGTTCGGGTGGGGACAACTAAGGGGTGGGGGGAGGCTGACAAGCAGGCACTGGCGATTGAAGCAGAGGCCTAGTATATCCTGTTTCTTCTGTAGTTTGCTGATTTAAGCAACTTTGTCTTGGAAATGGACCATGTATCCATTATTTCCTTCATCCACTGAGGACTGTCTGGGGTTCTAGCAAGTCCACGAAGCTTTCTGTGGCTTGGTTTCTTCCTCTGTGAAACAGGATAACAACAGTCCCAATTTCAAAGGTGTGTTGTGAGGGTTACATGAATGAATGGAGCAGGCTAGATGTCTTAGACATCAGGATGGGCAGATGAGGGAAATGCTAAGATGTAAAGCGAGGGCAGGGCCTGGGCTGGGCGTGGTGGCTGATGGCTGTAATCCTAGCATTTTGGGAGGCCGCAGTGGGAAGATCACTTGATGCCAGGAGTTTGAGACAGCCTGGGCAACATAGTGAGACCCTCATCTCTACAAAAAATTTTAAAAACTGGCCAGGCGTGGTGGCACATGCCTGTAGTACCAGCTATTTGAGAGACTGAGGTGGGAGGATCACTTGAGTCAAGTGGTTCAAGGCTGCAGTGAGCTGTGATCAACCCACTGCACTCCAGGCTGGGCAACAGAGCAAGACTCTCTTTCTCTCTCATGTGTGTGTGTGTGTGTGTGTATACGTGTATATATATACACACCCATATATGTATAAATAATTTTTTTAGTGGAATTATTGGTGAAATGCATTCATAATTTGACAAGAGAAGGTTGAATTGAATTGAGCACAGCAGGCTGACAGCTGTCGTCATTTTTCAGTTCATGCACCTGGTGCTGAGGTTACCAGAGCATCCGATAGGCCCTGTCCTTGTGAAGCGCACCCTGGTAGGGAGGGATAATATGTATTTTATTATTTATTCATTTATTTATTTATTTTAAATAAAGTTAGGAAGGAAATGGGAGAAGGCAATGGTGAGTGGTTGGCCTGGGTAGTCAGCCTTCTCCCCTCTCGCTGGGAGGAGGAAAAGGAGACCAGGACCTGAGAAGCAGCCAGATGCCTTTGATGTAGCCACCACAGAGGATGGTTTAGTGACCCTCCAGGGCCCAGGCAGAGACGCCGGGCTGCCGCACCACTCGGTGACAGCTCCCGGGATGGCAGGCGCTCAGAGTGCTCTAGAGGCACCCAGCAGCCAGGCCGTCCCTCTGGTGGCCCTTGTTCCTTGGAGCTCCCACTGTGTCAGCCCACATGGGGGTCCCCGATGCCCATGCACAGAAGCTGCCGGGCTGTTGGAGCCTGTGGGACAGCCAGAGGGAGCAGGTTGCAACATTAAATTTTTTTCAAAATAGTAAAGTCTCAAGATGCTGTCCTCTAAACTCTTGTTTAACTGCAAGTGCAACTCGTAGCTTTATTTATTGCTTTCATCAGAATGAGGAAGAAGTTTCAGCTGCATCCAAGCGCTTCTATATCCCTGAGGTTATTGACTAAAAATAGGGAAGAGCAAGTATTTTCAGCTGTTTTCTTTTGCGTGTGGACCTATGAGCTCTTTCTACCACTGTCTCCCTCTTTAAAAGACACTTTTAAGTGTTCTCTGGTCACATAAACTCCCCTCCACGGGGATTGATTGATTCAGGAACCAGTTGGGTCTTTTTTCCCCTTTTTTTTTTTTTTTAAAGACAAAGTCTCGCTCTGTGGCCCAGGCTGGAGTGCAGTGGCACAATCTCGGCTCACTGCAACCTCCACCTCCAGGGTTCAAGCGATTCCCATGCCTCAGCCTCCTGAGTAGCTGGGATTACAGGCACCCGCCACCATGCATGGCTAATTTTTGTATTTTAATAGAGACGGGGTTTCACATGTTGGCCAGGCTGGTCTCCAACTGCTGACCTCAGGTGATCCACCCACCTTGGCCTCCCAAAGTGCTGGGATTACAGGCATGAGCCACCACGCCCCACGGGTTTTTTTTCCTCTAAGCCCCAAGTCACAGTGGAATCCCGGGTGGAATAAATTTTGATTGTGAGGCCCCACTGGACTGAAAAGAGTATAGGGGGAAATCAAATATATTAGAAAACAGGATATTTGAAAAGGGAAGAGGCAGAGCTAGAAGCAAAACACACACTCAGGCGAAAAGAAACTTTTCCACGCAAAGCGCTTTGCAAAATGGAAGAGTGATCTAGCAGTCATTTCGTAAAGGAAAAAGTAGAAGTGTTTCCATGAATTCGTTGCAACACAAGAGCAAGCCATTGATTTAAGGTTCTGTGTAATAAAAATACCAGCTTCCAAAACTGAAATGATTGGCTGGGTACCATGGCTGTAATCCCAACACTGAGGGAGGCCGAGGCGGGAGGGTCTCTTGAGCCTAGGAGTTCCAGACCAGCCTGGGCAACAGGGGGAAACCCCATCTCTACAAAAAGTACAAAAGATTAGCCAGGCATGGTGGTACACGCCTGTGGTCCCAGCTACTCAGGAGGCTGAGGTGGGAGGATGGATTGAGCCCAGGAGGTTGAGGCTGCAGTGAGCTATGATTGCACCATTGCACTTCAGCCTGGGCAGCAGACTCAAAAATAAATAAATAGATACATACATACATAAAATTTTTTTAGTGGAATTATTGGTGAAATGCATTCATAATTTGACAAGAGAAGGTTGAATTGAGCATAGCAGGCTGGCAGCTGTCGTCATTTTTCAGTTCATGCACCTGGTGCTGAACTTACCAGAGCATCCAATAGGCCCCATCCTTGTGCAGCTCACCCTGGTAGGGAGGGATGGTTCCCTGTGGTGGGACTGTCACTCCTATAAGCAGGTTTGTGAGATCACAGTGGGCGCACAGAGGAAGGAGCCTTGACCTGTGTCGCATGTCAGTAGCACAGTGGCTCTGAGGCACCTTCAGTACATCCAGCCAAGCTCTCCATAGCTCCAAGCCTGCAAAGATGGTGCTATGGAATCCAGGTGAGCCCTTGGCCTTCAGGAGACCATTGCTGATCTGGTCCTGTTGCTTTCTAGGCTACCAGATCTCTTGGGAGGTGTACGGCAGGAACGACTCTCGTCTCACGCACACCCTGAACAGCACGACGCATGAGTACAAGATCCAAGGCCTCTCATCTCTCACCACCTACACCATCGATGTGGCTGCTGTGACTGCCGTGGGTGCTGGCCTGGTGACTTCTTCCACCATTTCCTCTGGAGTGCCCCCAGGTCAGTAAAATCGTGTGTGCGGTCCTCCTGCTGTTGCCTCGCTCTTGGAGATTCCTGAGGCTAGAAGTTGATTGACACTTTTATGTGGAAGCCACTAAGTGCCTTGAAAAGGAGGAGTGGCCTCCTGCCAAGATGCTGGAGGGTAAATAGGTGTTGACCCCACTTCAGCCTCATTCTCCAGAGCATTCCACCGCGGCCTCACATCCCTTCTGTCTTCTCCTCCTGCTTTGGCCTCAGAACACACGTTGAAAGTGTTTAAAGCCAGTTCCCAATGCATATCTAAAATATCGTGAATACTTTCAAAACAGTAGTGATGATTCTATTAGTCCATTTTCATGCTGCTGATAAAGACGTACCTGAGACTCGACCATTTACAAAAGAAAGAGATTTAATGGACTGACAGTTCCACATGGTCGGGGAGGCCTCACAATCATGGCAGAAGGCAAAGGGGAGCAAGTCATGTATTACATGGATGGCAGCAGGCAAAGAGAGAGCCCGTACAGGGAAACTCCTGTTTTTAAAACCCACAGATCTTGTGACACTTATTCAGTATCGCGAGAACAGCACAGGCCCCCATGATTTGATTACCTCCCACCGGGTTCCTCTCGTGACACGTGGGAATTGTGGGAGTTACATTTCAAGATGATATTTGAGCGGGGACACAGTCAAACCATATCAGCGATGATGGCGTGTGGTTTAATTGGTTAAAAATGGGTATATACAGCGACCAAGATTAACACTGGAAGCACATCTGTGTGCAAGTTGCCAGGGTTTTCCTGAGATGTCTTGGACATTGTTCATCCAGGGCAGAGAAATGGGTTAGCTGACCTCCGGAAGGCTGTGCTTCCAGAAACACTTTGATCCACACTACGTCTGGAGCCACAGAGTGGAGTGTTAGAGGGGAAACTGAGGCCCGGCTGCTTTGGCCAAACCCCTGATAACCAAGGTGCAGGGAGGCGCTGGAGTTGCCATTCCTTCATTGCCAAGGCTGAATGCTTGTAGCTGGAGAGGGGTCCTAAAGCCTTGCCCACTCATCCTGGGTAGTGGCTGGAGGCAAATCAGATGGAGAGGACTGCTTTGGGGACGCCGTGTTCTGTTTACTGTGCTTAAAGTTTATCACCATTAATGATTGAAGAACCATTTAAAAATCCGGAGCGCTGAGAAATAGAAAGGAAAGAGCCCACTTGTCCTTCGATTTAAACATTTTCTATTTCAAATTCATTAAAAACTAGATGTGGGAAGGACCCTTGAGATCCTACAGACCCTGCCCCTGCCAATACTGAATCGATCACCAAAATAGTTTCATTGTCCGTGTGCAAGACCTGGTTTCAAACACCCCAAGCAACAGCAAATGAGGAAAGCATTCCTCAGAGACAGTGCGGTCTGAAAGCTGCACTAGTCTTGCATTTTTCTTTTCTTTTTTTTCCCCCCGCTTTTTAGCCCCTTATCTTTCTCTAGAGTATTTTGCATGGCACAGTAATCTAAAAGCTCTCACTCTGAACTCATAGTGCTACAGTTCCGAGTGGGAGGTGCTCTTTGGGGAGCAGCAACTGAAGGGTCTCTCATGTAGGAGTAGGCTTGAGCCACGGGCACCCTCAACGGGAGGCTCATTCAGAACCCACCTTCCACCTTATCCAGTTACCCAAGCAACTGAACACAGGCAGAGCGAGGAGAGTTCTGCCCTTGCACGAGAATGTGGTCGTCTTGGAAACCAGACCCAAGAAGCCTAAGGCTCAAGACCTGATCCTGAGCAGGTGCCACACTACCTGGGAGCAACCCTGGGCTTGTGCACTCTTCCCTCCACCCCTCTGAGGCCGCGGTAATTATGAAAGGAAGTACAGCCATTTGTTCTTTGTGTGGTTTCAGGAGCCAGGAAGGATTACATTCATTCATCCTTTCCTCATTCAGCCAGCATCTGTTAATTACCTACAAAGTACGGAGATGTGTAAGGCATGACACATCCCTTCAGAGTTTCTCATCAAGGAGGCCGTGTTCGCGGTGTGTCTCCTGAAGTCCACCGGGTCAGCCTATTAAAGCAAAAACCATGTACTCATCATGCCTCTGGGGAAGCTGTGCTGCTTCTCACCTTCATGCTTTTGAGAACAAATCCTTTTTTGGTGTTGAATGGTGTCGAAACTGTTTACTTTTGAAGATGACACATTTGATACCTTTCCTAAGCTGTGACGGACTTTAAATCTCTCCCTTTCCTCCCTGGTTCCTCTCTAGACCTTCCTGGTGCCCCATCCAACCTGGTCATTTCCAACATCAGCCCTCGCTCCGCCACCCTTCAGTTCCGGCCAGGCTATGATGGGAAAACATCCATCTCCAGGTGGATTGTCGAGGGGCAGGTACGTGTGTCGTTAGACCGGGAGCCGGCATTTCCAAAGAGCAATGTTGGGGCCTGTGAGTGAGTGGCGCCCCTGCAGATGATGGCATGGGGGTGCGGGGGAGATGGGCATGCTTGGAGTGGGAGAAGCAGGGGCTGGAGATAGCCCAGATAGCAGCGCAGAATGTTGGAAGACAAAGAACAAGATGTCAGGCTGGGGTCCTACCAGGTGATGAGACAAGAATAACAAGGGTTAAAATGAAAGTTGTGATTCAAAATAGGTACCCAAAATTGGATAGAGTTGATGATTGAGTTTTTAAAAATTCTGTATCACAATTAGCTACTAAATATACTAATAGGATTAATTGCTTGGTACAGCTTGTGTGTCATTAGCTATGCATTCATTCAACAATATTTTTAGAGACGATTGTTCTATCTGCAGGCACTATTCTGGGCATGGGGGCTATTGCAGTAGACAAAGCTGGCTGAGTTTCTGCTGTCGAGGAGAAAAGTGCCGTCTGGGGAAGAAAGACCTCCAGCTGTGGGAAAGCTGTTATATTTGAGGGACAGCAAGGAGGGCGGGTGCTGGAGGGAGGGGAGCAAGCCCTGGGGTGGCCGGGAGTGAGTCTGGGGAGAGTGAGGGGTGGGTTCCACAGGACCTGAGAGAGTGGACTCCCCCGAGAGACTTCTGGTCTGACTCCAGCTGTGCAAGTGCTGCAGCACGCAGAGGTCCAGGACAGCGCCGGGCTTGAATAGGATCACGCTGGCACTGGTGAAACCATGCAATCTGCCAGTTCCATGTTCCAACAAAAGCAGGAGGAAAAAGATAAAGGGCCCAATTATGAGGAGTAGTAAAGTTTCAAAATAGTTATTATCTGTAGTAAAATCCTTGTGGTTTTCATGACTGTACTTGTACTATATTGCAAGACGATCCACTCCTGGAAATTGGCCATAAATTAGGGAACAAATCCTATCTACCTCTTCAAAATTTCATTAAGCAAACATTTCTGAAAATGTAAGGAGGATCCTGAAGGTGCAAACCATCTGGATGGGACTGACCCACAAATGGGGCTGGAACAATTATTTACTTAGCAAAAATAGCAGTAGAGCCCTACCTCACATCAAATTAAGAAAATCAGTCCTCAGCCAAGGAAGATTCAATTGGTGAAAGCAACTTTAAAACGCTTAAGATTAACTATAGGACAAGAATCACCATGTCTCATGAAAACCAAGTCTAGTAATTAAAATCCAGCAGCAGAAGGCAATACTTTTAGGCCCACAGGAGCACGTGCTGTGGTCTTCGGTGTCTGACAATGCCACGTAGCTGAGGCCAGGAAGCAGCGCTCATTGCGGGCTTTAGAATGTGGTGGTATGCTAGGGCTGGGCGGGCCACAGCGACAGAAATGCCAGCGTCTTCAGGGCTCAACATACAAGAGCTCATTTGTGCGTCCAGGCAGGCCTGCGAGTGGACGACGCTCCTTTTGCCCATGTTCCGTTGCCCAGGACTTGGTCACGTGGTCCGGTGTTGCTGCAGGAGAGTCTGGGAGTGTGGTGTTTCAGCTCACCTGGGAGGGAAAGACGTGGAGTGATGTGGGGACCCTCGGCACAGTTTCTCGGCCACAGCATCCTGGCTTTATGTCATACAGCCTGTTTGTTTGTTTATTTATTTTTGAGATAGAGTCTTGCTCTGTCGCCAGGCTGGAGTGCAGTGGCGCCATCTCGGCTCACTGCAACCTCCGCCTCCCAGGTTCAGGCAGTTACCCTGCCTCAGCCTCCCGAGTAGCTGGGACTACAGGCGCCACCACCATGCCCGGCTAAGTTTTTGTATTTTAGTAGAGACGGGGTTTCACCGTGTTAGCCAGGATGGTCTCAATCTCCTGACCTCGTGATCTGCCTGCCTTGGCCTCCCAAAGTGCCGGGATTGCAGGCATGAGTCACCGCACCTGACGTCTAAAGAGGTTTTACATTTTTAATGTAAAACATCTTAGATATATGCAAAAGGAAGGAGAATAGTAGAGTGAGCCCCCTGGTACCCATCAGCGAAAGTCAATGATCCTCAAGATTTCGCCACATCCATCCACCCCTGCTTTTTTATTGGCGTATTTTGAAGCATATTTCAGACCACATGTCACTTTGCCCCCATACGTGTCACACGTGTGTCTAAAATACCTGTTCACATGCCAATATGGATGAATTTCACAGGCATAATGTTTAGCAAAAGAAAAACCAGACCCCTACTTGGAGCATATACTGTGTGATTCCATTTATAGAATGTTCCAGAACAGGAAGAAGTACTCTTCGGTGCTGGAATTTGGGTTTTCCTGGGACCCCTGTGGTTACTTACCATGTGGGTGACGGTGATTGGGAGGGGTCCACCTGAGGAGAGGGTGTCTGGAATGGCAGGAGTGCTGTCTTTTGATCTGTATCAGGGCTAAATGTGTGTGCTTATTTTGTGTATACACCAGTGGTCTGTGAGCTTGCCTGTGTGTCTTACTTCAGTGAAAAGTTTGGAAGTTTGGCCAGGCCCACACCTGTCATGCAGCACTTTAGGAGACGAAGGCAGTGGATCACTTGAGGTTGAGAGTTCGAGGCCAGCCTGGCCAACATGTGAAACCCCATCTCTACTAAAGATGCAAAAATTAGCCGGGCGTGGTGGCACACGTCTGTAATCCCACCTATTCAGGAGGCTGAGGCAGGAGAATCGCTTGAACCCAGGAGGTAGAGGTAGCAGTGAGCCAAGATCACGCCACTGTACTCCAGCCTGGATGACAAAGCAAGACTCTCTGTCTCAAAAAAAAAAAAAAAAATTTACGTGAAAATATGGGTATCTTCTGTCATACCACTGTCACACCTGATAAAATTATTGTTATTGTTTTTTTGAGATAGGATCTCACTCTGTCACCCAGGCAGGAGTGAAGTGGTGCGATCTCAGCTCACTACAACCTCTGCCTCCCGGGCTCAGGCAATCCTCCCATCTCAGCCTCCTGAGTAGCTAGGACCACAGGCATGCGCCACCACTGACTTTTTATGGTTTTGGTAGAGACAGGGTTTTGCCATGTTGCCCCGACCGGTCTTGAACTCCTGAATTCAGGTGATCTGTCAGCCTCAGCCTCCCAGCGTGCTGGGATTATAGGCATGAGCCACCACGCCTGGCAATTTGAACATTTTAATATCATCTAATAATCAGTTCACACTCAGATTTCCCCAAATTTTCCAAAACACCTCTTTACAGTGGTTTTGATAAAAGTAGGATTCACATAAGGTTCACACTATTCATTTTGTTGTCATGTCTCTCAAATCATAGAAAAAAAACACACCGTAAACAGCTTTATTGACATATTGTAATTGACATGCAGTAAACTGCATATATTTAAGGTGGCCAGTTTGACACTTGTGACTTATACATATACACACACCTGGGAAGCTGTGACCACAGTCGAGATAATGAACACGTTCCTC